ATGAAGCCTCCTCTCTTCCCGGCTGTCCCCAAGTCACTTAATTCCTCAGCTCTGAAGAGGAATTTGCATATTAATTTGAAAATGAGATCAGTTATTAGCCATAACCTGTCATGTATCATCCAATGCATCTGGACCTGGATTAGGTTCAATATTGCCACAGCATAGAGACAAGGGGGAAAGAACTAAATAATTTAAAGTCATTATTCTACTAATCCTCCCGCTTGGCTGGGCTCCCTAGAGGTGTGTTAGGAGGTAATTGAATACACAGAGATTCGCTGAGAAGACATTTGAGAGGAACATTGCCAGCCGTGGAAAGCATGGGGCTTGATAGTTTTTCCTTCTCATTTACCCACAAGGAAGGCAAGGGAGTGGTAGGGCTGTGGGGAGAGACTCCAAGAAAACAGGGGCAGAGAGGTGGTACTTCAGGACTGAGGACACAGTGGGGCCAGTAGGAAGTACGGAGATTCAGGTGCCACTTCTCCTCCCTACTGGGCGCTGCAGAGAGAGGAGAGGAAAGGGAGGGGGAGAGAGGATGTCACAAGCCTTCTCCTGCAGACCCTTTATGTGTGGGTTACTCTTCCCCATCCTGCCCCCTCCTGAGGTCCTTTCACCTGATACCAAAGAAAATGCTAAAGTCATAGTTTGTAATCAGGCAGCCGGGACTTATGCTTTGTTTGACTTGATCACGAAATGTCTTTTTTAAAAGAGAAATATAATGCCAAAAATGCATACATCCGGAAATTTCACATAGAAACCCAGTTTTGCTTCATTTTGACAAAGGGAAGTGTTGGCAGGGCTGTGGACATAGTTTCCTGTGACTCCCTGAGGCTGGAGCTGAGCTATGCTGCCTACTCAGGTAGAGCTTGAGGGTCCCTGGAGACCCACCAAGCTGGCTTCACTCCTTTGTGTTACCTGCCTCAGCCCCCCGTGCATTTGCACTTGCAATCGTGTTTCATGGGTAAAGGCGTCGCCATTGCAGCTCCCAGGAAATGGATCCACTGCAATGGGGAGAATCAGAGAATCCAGGTTCAGGGTAAGGGAAAGGAGGCAGTGTTTTCTTTTTCTTTTTTCTTTTTTTTTTTTTTTTTTTTTTTCAGTAACTTTGATAGGGAGCCAATGTTTCCTGAACATAGACTCAGCTATGCACTGTGCTAGGCATGGGAGCTATGAAGAAGCGGAAGACGTGTGCTTTGTGTGGGGAGTCTTGGAGGAGAGATGGGGAGATTCTATACACAAGAAAACAAGGAAGCTGTAAGAAATAACTTCCTAATGGATGGGTTCAAAGAGAGATTGTGCTGTGTCAAGAGGCAATGGGTTTTCCCTGCACTGGTGGTGTGTCATACAGAGTGGTGGGTCTTGTGGTGGAGATGAACACACATAGATCCATTTTGGTAAGAGATCACCCCTGACTTTGTATTGGAGCAGAAGTGAGCCACAGAGCCCTGTAGAGCCACAGCAGTCCAGGCTCTAGAGCAGGCTCCATTAGCAATTTGCTAGGCAAATTACCCTTGGGCAAATGGCCAAAGCTTTCTGAGTGCCAACTTCCCCAACCATAAAGCGAAACCCAGGATGCTTCCTGCTCTCGCTCTTTTCAGAAGTGATTATGTTGCAAGAGAGCAGATGCCTCAGCTGCAGGGATCTTAGACGAACAGCAAGATACATTCAGGGCTGCTGGGGAGGAGGCACATCGTCCCGTCCCTGCCAAGTGTAAACTCTTGTGAGCTGTCTTAGCCCCTCCACCCAAAGGTATGAAACGCCTGGCACCAGCTGCAAGGGACCCCGTCTCCTGTGAGAAACCAAATGCTTGGTGGTTAGTACCATTTATCACTGCCATGGGGATTAGCTGCTGCTTAATGAATTTCTTTAGGAAGAAAGCTGAGCATGTTCCTACACAGCTACAGAAGTGAAGGAAAACTTGCCCTCCCCATTTGTCTCCTCTCACCTGTGGATCCACATTATTTTTATTTATAAGTTCTCTTTTAAGGCTGACTTCCTGAACAAGTCACTTGCCCCCCTGGACCTCACTGTCTTCATCTGTAAGAAGGGGAGGCAGGCTATTGTTCATAAGCATATTATTTTCTCTCTGCTTCTTCTCTGAATCTTCTCGCCCACTAAAAGAATCTCAAAGCAAAACAAAAAACAAAAAACAAAAACAAAAACTGTACTCTGGAATATCATCAATCATCAATTAAACACTCTAATTATACAGGAATTGTTTCATTAGTTGTTTCCACCCGATCAAGCCTGGGCTATACGAAGTTGGGGGAGGGGGTAGGAAGTCCCTCAGTCGTTACCTAAGTGACTAAAGGAAATGAAGCTAAGTAAATCCCTAGCCCAGAGCTCATCACTGTGATGCCGGCAGGCTTGTTAGCAAGCTTGGAAAATGACCTGCGGCTGACAAGAGCTCTCTTGGGTTGAGAATGAATCTTGCATTTGAGTTCTGTCCCCACAGATCAGATCAAATGAATCGCTGCTCATGTGGTCTCCTCTGGCTCTTTGTGCCATCCTTATCATTGACATCAGGCCCTGTTTGTTTATGAGTTGTCTTCCCTGCCTGAAAAGTAAGCACCATCCACTGGTCTCTCCAATGTCTGCCCTGGCACAGGCCCTAGGAGAATGACGTGTGAATAAATGAATGAATGATGATGTGTGGTGTCCTAGAACCACTCATTCACTGAGGACTAGGACTGGCAGGTTCTGTCTAGTTTATCTTTAATGCTTCCACACTGAGCATCCCTATGGGGGGGGGGCGGGTCTCTACAACGCCAGACACCCAGTACCTTCAGGTTAAGCCTTGGTTGCTCCCTTTGCCATGCTCCTCATCACCCCTGGACCTGCCATTCTGCATTATAAAACCTTGTCTTATCTGTGGACAGAGAAACCACAAGATTTTCAGGATTTAGGGGACTTCGTTGAGTAGTGGCTGCCTTTCAATGAGGACTCAGCAGTTCAGCCACTTATTTGAAATAAGTTCAAATCAGGGTCAAAACTTGATAATAGGGTCAAAACTAGGGTGAGGTGAGTGAAATACTTATTGGGATACAACACTTAAGGGGGCACAAAAAACTCAGTCACTAATATGTTAATGCAACCTTTCTAAAAAATCAAAATTAATGCAAAAATTTTGTGCCAAACAGAACATTTTAATTTTGAATAAAGACAGGACTTGCACTTGCATAACTGCTACACTAGCCTCACCCTGAAAGGGCCTTCTGGAGACAGTGCCTCAAAAGTAGCTCAGACTCTAATTCTGGTAGTAACATTGCCATCTATTTGCTACAAGGCTGAATCCCTGGTTTCTGTGAAAGCTTGGCCCGGGCTATCAGTTTTCAAATGACAGGGGGATTCCTATTTGTGGCTCCTGCCCCCACCTGCACCAGCCAAGTTAGAATTTTAAATCTCAGACTAGGTGGTCTTGGAAGACCCCCAACAGCTGGTCTGAAAGACAAGCATTTTAAAGAGAGCCAATCACGGTCAGGCTGGCCTCGTGGTGGTTCACAGTGTATTGACATGGTGGCCATAAACTCTGTCTCTTGGAGTTGGGCTCTGCCAGGATTCTTCTGTTGCCCCATGTGCTCTGGGGTGGTGTTTGCTTTGCTTGGCAGAATCCTGGAATACTGGTGCCAAGAAGGACCTTACAGATCCTCCCGGCCTCATGGTACACATAGAGCAGTGGTTCTCAACATGGGACAGTCTCCCCGATCTTGGAAACTTGTAAATGTCTGGAGACATTTTTCATGGTCACAAATAGAGAGGGGGTTCTACCAGTATCTAGAGGAGAGAGGCCAGGGGTGCTACTAACCATTCTACAATTCACAGGACAGCCCCCACCACAAAGAATTATTCAGTCACAAACGTTCATAGTGCCGAGGCTAAAAGACGCTGAGGGAGAAATAAGTTCAAATCCGTATGGCTGGTCTGCTGATTCCTTGTTGAAAGGCAGCCACTACTCAACTAAGTCCCCTGAATCCTGAAAATCTTGTGGTTTCTCTGTCCACAGATAAGACCCACCCCAACCCAGGCATTTATGAAAGAGGATATCATGGTTTCCTTAGGTCCGTATCACTTTCCTATAACTTGCTCTTCTGCCTTTGAGGAAGTACTTCCTGAAGCCTTCCTTAATCTCTCCTGCTGCAGTTCAGGATTGTTTTGGAGATCAGATGTTCCTCTCTTGCTCCATTCACTTCTGACCCTTTGAAATAATGTATCACAATATTGCCAGTTGGAACTCCCCAAGGAAAGGAAAGGAGGTCAGGTATCATGGGAAAATATAGTACATTCTATTTCTCCGAATACCTAGATACTCTGAAAAGTGAGCACAAAGATGCCTTTCACTGCGCTTCAGGCAGATTGTGTTGGGTTAATTATGGTGAACTCAGGTCTCTCAAGCTGGAGCTCAAAGGCTAAAAGAGAAATTCTTCTTTGGCTAAAAGTAACAAATCTTCAATATAGAAATAGATTCTATTTAAGAAAGAGCACACTGAGAACCTGTTTCCACAGATTGGATGAAGAGGATTTTCCTTACAGGAGTCATTCATTCTCTCAACAAACATTTGTTGAGCACTTTCTATGTGCTGGGGCTGTGGTTCTTCAACTCGATGCACATCAGAATCCTCTGGAAGGCTTAGTGTATCTACCCAGCTTCCTAGGAGAGGAGGGGAGCTGGAGATTGAGTGCAGTCACATGGGCTGTGCTTCAGTCAATCATGCTTATGTAATGAAAACCCAAAAACTCTGAACACAGAGGCTCAGGGGAACATCCTGGCTGGCGGATCTTCCAGGAGGGTGACCTGAGGACATGGCAGGTACACATATGGGACCCTCACACACCTCTTCCTATGCATCTCTTCTTTGGGATAGTTCTTTTGTTGCTGTTGTTACAATGCAAATGAATGATTTTCATTTTAATAGTTTTCAGAGTACATGAGGTTTTTGATTACATGCATAAGTTCTTTCGTGGTGATTTCTGAGATTTTAGTACACCAATCACCTGAGCAGTGTACATTGCACTTCTTTTGGCTAGTTTTGAGTTGCATCTTTTATAATAAAATGAATTGTAAATAAAGTGCTTTCCTGAGTTATGTGAGTTATTCTACTGAGTTATTGAACCTGAAAGAGCCATGGACACTACTGACTTTGTAGCTAGTTAGAAGTGTGGATGCCTGGGGGACCTTGGAGCTTGCAACTAGTGTCTAAAGTGAGGGCAATCTTGAAGATAACTATTCCCTTAACCTGTGGAGTCTGCACTAACTCTGAGTAGTTAGCATCGGAATTACATTGCACTATAACTATATGACCTGGGGTGGGCCTGAAAAACAGATTAGAGATAGTCTGAGGAGAACAAGGTTAGAGAGAAGAGAATAGAAATGACCCACAAGAAACGGATTAAAACATTATTTCCACTCCTAGCTGTTCAGAGCACTGATAGAAGAAGGCCGATTATCCGTATTGTGGACGTATTAAGATACTCTCATCCCCATTAGCAGAGGTGCTACCTTGAGCCCACTAAGTTCCCCACCATGCATCTCTTACAAGATCTCCTCCACACTGATCACCCTAACATTCAGAAAAACTACAGAGTTAGTGTTGACACAGCAGAGGCCTGCAGGTCATAGTCATTCCAACTGGCCAGTGCTATACCCTGCATTTTATTAAATATCTAAGAATTCAGCCCTGAGTACAAGCGGTTTCTGAAGAATCTGTCAGAACAAACCCACATTTTCTTGTCTTGAACTGAGCAAGAATTTTTCCAAGAAAGAGTAGTCTGTATCAGGGCTTGAGGCCCATACCGAGAAAAGACAAAAGAAACTACTCAGAAGTAAAAAAGTTCCGCCAATTTGGTTATTTGGTAGTATGTAGATTTAGAAGAAATGCATTCATCAGGTTAAATTCATTATTTCCCCTTTCCTTTCACCCAAAATAAGAGTTAGGAAGCTTAAAAAGTGTCTCAAAAATCTCTGTGTAGGGAGGGGAGCATCACACACTGGGGTCTGTTGGGGGGGGAACTAGGGGAGGGACAATGGGGGGTGGGGAGTTGGGGAGGGGTAACATGAGGAGAAATGCCAGATATAGGTGATGGGGAGGAAGGCAGCAAATCACATTGCCATGTAGGTACCTATGCAACAATCCTGCATGTTCTTCACATGTACTCCAAAACATAAAACACAATAAAAAAATCTGTGTAAAGAAGGAACTGTAATTGCTCTGTTCTTTTACTTAGATATTTTTGCCAATTCTAAAACACATAAATAAGCTTGTTATTCAGACACGGAGGAAAGTGGGATTTATTAATTTAAATGGGTTGATTTGGAGGTCTCTGGGGAAAGATGCCTTGTTCATTCACCAGTCCCAGGGCATAATTTACAGTGAGCTTTCCCTTTATGTGTTGGACCTAGTTGATGCTAGTGCATAAATTTCCTCACGTTATTATTATTATAATTCATTATTTATTGAATGTTGATTCAGTGTAACATAAGCAGTGGCAGAAAGACACAGCCCTCCCAAGGGGCTGGAAAGCCATGTCCTAGACAATTCCAGAGGGAGAGGCAAAGATCTCCTAAGACTGTTAAGAGGGTGACGAGTCTCCCCAGGACTGCACCTGGAGCTTTACTGATGCCCATTAAAGTCTTCCTGGAAGAAGCAGACTTTGTGCAGGGAGAGTAAAAATACGAATTTAGTAGTAAATTGGCCATGAATTGGGCTACTTGTTGACCTTAATTCAAACAAACAATCCAATGTTTGGGAAAGGGCACAGGAAAGGACAGGAACACAACCAAGTCCCTGAGTTGGAAGGGGAAGGGGACACGTTCAATTTGGAAGCATTTTCTCAATTTTCTCTCCAGAAGCTGGGTGAAAAACTAAGAATCTGGGCAGATGGGAGGGGGTCTGGCACAGGAATCCACTGCTCCCACCACTACAACCCTCCATCACCTTGGATGACTGCTTCCCCTCCTCTGCCTCCCACCCAGGCTCTTCTCTCGTTAGGAACAGCAGTGTATCTCTTCATTCTTCAGCCATGCCAAACAACTGTGCTGCTTGGAGGCACAGGCCTGACTGACAGAACGTTTTAGACCTAGCAACAGAAAGCAATTAAGTGCCATTTGGTGCTGCGTATAAGTGCAATGGGAATTAGAGAGGAGACAAAAATGATTTCAGGATGTCAAGATGGGGTGACTGGTGACAATACAGTGACATGCTCTCCTCCCTCCCTCTCTCCCTCAAGCATTTATTGAGCATCAGTTGTATGCTAGATTCTGTGCTATGTGGGTGGGGGTTTTGGGGTAGAGGGCAGGCATACACAAATCAAGAAGAGATTTAGGAGTGCCTAGAAGTCATGTAAGCTCACTAAGCCTCAGCTGCCCCATCTGTAAAAGTAGGGTACCCCACTACCTCACAGAATGGCTGTGATGGAAATGCATGCAGTGGTTAGCAGAGTATCCAATGCAGAATATGCAGTCAATGGAGATTGGCTCTGTAGTTATCTCTGTCATCAACAACCAGTGTTACTTATATACTTCAATGTACTAAAAACTCATGTTCCTACCAAGACACTGTTTTTTAAATTTTTCATGAAATACATATATATATACATTTACCTACATATGTCTATGCATATATACACATACAGGTACATCATAAACATAAAGCTTGATGAATTTTCATAAACTAAATATGCCCATGTCATCCACACCCAGGCCAAGAAAGAGAACATTACTGACACCCCCAGGAGGCTCCCCTGCTCTCTTCCCAGTCTTTCCACTACTGCAAGGGTGACAGTTACCTGGACATCTAACAGCATAGATTAGTGCTGCCCATGTTTGCACTTTATATAAATGGAATTGTACTGCATGTTCTCTCTTGTTTCTGCCTTCTTTCATTCAATCTCCTGTTTGTGAGGTTCATCCATTTTGCAACTGACACCCATTTGTCACAAATTTTGCAACTGATCATATTTTTATGGAACTCAGAGCCAAAAACAATGGCCACCTCCAGAAATTCTACAGGACCTCCATGAGAGGGATTTTGTACCTTGCCCTCATTTTCCTACCACCCAAATTTTCTCATGGACTTTGTTCTGTTTATATTGATGGAATATAAGGATGTCTGTAACTTATTTCAAATCCTGTTGAGAATGATACACAGGGGAAATGATAATAGTGAATGAATGTTAATTCCTCCTTCCCTAGTTAGAGCTCTACTCACTGTACAACTCCACTTCAGGGAGATGATGAAGATGAAGGCGAGTGCGGATGTCCTGCAGATGGGGATGAAGAGGCAATCACAGCTGGCAGCCATGGAGCACTTGCTCACTATATGCCTGGCTTTCTTCTAGCTCCTGACTTGTACTGGCTCGTGACATCTTCATCACAACATATTTTTATCCCATTTTCAATTAAAGAAACCAAAGCATAGAAAGGCTAAATATCTTGCTGGAGGGTACCCAGCTGGAACGTGGTGAAGCTTGGATTAGAGCCCAGTTGAGAAATTCAGTTCTAGAACCCCATCTCAGCCAACACCTGGTATTGTCACTGAATTGCATGGAGGATGGCCTCTGAGCTACTACACTATCATTTCTTTCAAGTCACCACTCCTGGCATGCTTTTTTGATCCCCTTCATAGGTTACCAAAGTCCCAATGACAAGCCTAAGCTGCAGCCTCCCTGTGTGTGTGTGGACGCGTGTGTGTGTGTGGACGCGTGTGTGTGCATGAGTGCATGTGGCTAGAATGTGAGCAAAGCCCTTGATTATCACGTAAATGAGCACAGGGCTGAAGGCTCCAGCAGGGCAGCCTTGCCTTCTCCAAGGCTGAGCATCAGGCATAATTATCATTGTCTTTGAGGAGAGCCACAGGTAGCTGTCAGGGGCATCAACAGCTTTTAAACGCAGAGGCAGGATCCATACAAATCAGGCTGACTTGCTCGCAGAGGAAGAACTCCATCTGCATGGGAGGATAGCTACAGCTGTTTCCTGAGGAAGAGGCACTCGGGGCCGGACAGACTGGAAGTCACCACTTACTGAGCCAGCCCAGGCTCCTCACACACATTATGTCCACACTTGCAGCCATCCCTAAGCTGGAGTTACCATCCTAATTTCCAGATGAGGAAACTGAGGATTCAGTAACATGTGGCCCATTCATACAAGCCTCAACAGTCTGGCTTGATTTGTTAGAACAAAGGGAAACTCAGTGTTTGTTAAAGAAAGAAAGTGACGTTCTGCCATGAATTCAGCCTGGGATTGCAGATAAGACAGTAAGGGCCAGGGTTCCTGGAACAGGGCCCAGCGGGGAACATGGGTTCAGCCTGAGGAACCACGGCTGCAGGCACACAGGAAGCTGCCTGCCTTCCCTCCCAGCCAGAACAGGCCCCTGGCTTTCAGTAGTTGCCACAGTACATGGAAATTAAATGGAAAATGCACACTTATCTCAGGCTTCTGAGACAAGCAACTCCCACCCTGATTCCTTTCTTGGGCTTCAATCCTGCTTACCGCTCAGACGCTTAGTGAATTCTGTTGGCAATGAACAGTGCTTTCTCCAGGGCAATAAATACCTTGCAATTTATAAATCATTCCATCAATAATTGCCTGCAGGCTGGGGACAGTAGCTCGTGCCTATAATCCCAGCTACTCAGGAGGCTGAGGTAAGATAATCTCTTGAGACCAGGAGTTTGAGATCACCTTGGGTAAGCAGAGAGATCTCATCACTTGAAAAGTAAAAATTTTAAAAATTAGCCAGTCATCGTGCTGTGTGCCTGTAGTTCCAGCCACTTGGGAGGCTAAAGTGGAGGATCACTTAAGCCCAAGAGGTAGAGGCTGCAGTGAACTGTGATTGCACCACTGCACCCCAATCTGGGCAACAGAGCAAGATCTTGTGTCTAAAGAAGTTTAATAAAGTAACACAATAAAAATAAGAAACAGAAACTTCTCAAAGTCCTCAGCCCCATGCTAAAGGGGCTGCCTGCCCTTGGTGAATAACACCTGTCATGACACCTAGAACACGGGATTAATGCTGTCCCTATTGAACACCCCCATTTGCCAGCTGTTTCTCAGTGATTCTCTCTAATCCTCAGGATAAACCTACACAGCCAACATTATTCTCTATCTTCTTGCATGTGTGGATGTGAAGGCTCAGATGGGTTAAGTAGTCTCTCTAAGGGTCATGCAACTTGCAAGTGGCAGAGCCAGGATTCAAGCTTTGTTCTGGCTGACTCTAAGTGCATACTGGCTCCAAATGACACCAAGGTCTCTCAATGGACAATGGCTTTCAAGTGTGTTTCACTGTAATCCCTGGTATAAGAGATATAATGTGCATCTCCCGTGCCAGAACTTGTGTCTCTGCTCATCGGGGCATACTACCCTCTGCCCCAGGAGCTGTAAGACACTGCACCTGTAGCTGTCTTACCTTCCGGCTTCTGGGAGAGTCCCCCAAAGATGAGCTCCAGCAGGAGATGAAAAGGAAGGAGGAGAGTGAGGCTGGGGTGTCATTCTCCTCACCTGTTTCTTACTTATTTGAGGTAGCAGGCTATCCCTCAACAGAACCACTGTTTCTCCCAAAGTGGTTGATACGGTTTGGCTGTGTCCCCACCCAAATCTCATCTTGAATTGGAGCTCCTGTAATTCCTATACGTTATGGGGGATCATTGAATCACGGGGGTGGTGTCCCCCGCTCTGTTCTTGTGGTAGTGACTAAGTCTCATAAGATCTGATGGTTTGACAAGGAAAAACCCCTTTTACTTGGCTCTCATTCTCTCTCCTGCCTGCAAGATATGCCTTTCATCTTCCACCATGATTGTGAGCCCTCCCCAGCCATGTGGAAGTGTAAGTCCGTTAAACCTCTTTTTCTTTATAAATTACCCTGTCTTGTGTTTGTCTTTATCAGCAGCATGAAAATGGAGGAATACAGTGGCCTTTTCCACAGGATTCCCTTTTTGGGTCCAGAAAGTACTTCCTCCCCAAGATCCTTTTGCCCTGGGGGTGCTAACAGCTCCCCTGCTGCCAGTCTCTGGGTCCTGCATGGTGGTTTCCCTCTTTCTCTCATTTGTAAATATTCTTTCTATAAACCCTGCTCCACTTATCCTAATTTAAGTGTGCCTTCTTTTTCCTCTTGGAACCCTGACTAGCACAGTGGTTAACAATGACCCAGTACACACACACACACACACACACACACACCCCTGAAGCTAAAGTTTCCTAAAAACTTTCTAGTCTTTTATGCCCTATCCTGCCTCACCAAAGAATTAAAATTTCTTCATGACCTTCATTTTGAAAAAACAAAAAAATTTTAGACAACATCCATGGTAGGCACCACAGTGATCATGCAGGCCACTCCTGTCTTTCTGGAAAAAGCCACTGAGTTATAGAAAAGAAGTAATTGCTCAGAACCATTTGCTCTAAGTAGATTGGTTCTGGACTGGAACCCAGATCAGTCACTATGGATCCTGCTTTGAAGTGCTGAGGCAAAAGTTGTACTGCTCTTTCTCTGGGGACCTGTGACTCAGGTCTTTCTCTGGAACAAAAAGAATTGGTAGAAAGACTGAACTTACTAATCAGCTTTTCCCCCTTGTCCTGATCTTTTCCAAGAACTAATACTTACTCTTCCATTCATGAATGGTGCTCGCAGGGTTTATAGAAGCCTTGCTTCTTGGAGCTGGATGGGGCCTTAGCAGTCAATCAGTCCAACCCTCTCATTTTACAGGTGAGGAAGCATGCCTCCAGAAACACCCTACACCACTAAATCAACACGGGCCTGATTCACAGCCTTGGCTATGGCTGAAAATTACAGAGAGAAACGTCCAAACACTCCTATAGCAAAAAGCAAATCCACGGAACACAGGGATGCAGCATCTGCAGTCAGGGTCCACCTGAAAACAAGAAGGGGCCCATCCTAGCCCTCTGCAAGCCTAGAAAGGAAATGAAATCATAGGCAATTCACAGTGGACAGGAGGAAAGCCTGGAGGTCTCACCTTGATCGTAAGAGGCTGGGCCCCGACCTGAGCATCAGCATTGCTGATTGGGACCAGGAAGGTAGAGGGTAGGAGCAGGTGAGGAAAAGGGCCCCAACTGGGGTGATGACTTCATGTTCTCAATGGCTAAAGCTCTTTTCTCAGCCTCTGTGGCCCTGACCTCCAAAGTGGAGAGCGTGGACCCTGTAAGCTAAAAGCAGAGTTTTGGAGGCAGGAAGAAAATAATTTCCATCATATTTATTTTTCTTTATTGAAATGTTTTACTTCTAGTACTTAATATCCTAGCTGTCAGTTGTATATGTATAAAACTTATAAATTAATGTACTAAATTTGGGAATATACAAATCCAAATAAATTCTAGGTCACTGTTCTCGGGAACCAGGGACTCTCAAAGTGTGGTTTGCATCAGAATCACCTGGGAACTTAATTCAGGGCCCCCAGACCAAACCTGCTGGAGCAGATTCCCTGGGGGCTGGGACAGGAATCTGCATATTAGATAAGTTCTCCAGGGAAATCTATGCCCATTAATCTTGGACAATGGTCGCCCTGGGCCTTGCCTCTGTAGCTGTGGAGTAGCCCATACAGCCTACAGGAGTCCTGTCTGAGTTCCCATCCCCAGAGAACCCCAGGTCCTGCCTGTCCTGTCTGTACACAAAGGTACCTGGCCAAGGGGGTGAATGTGGCTGATGTCCTCCAGGTTGTGTGCCTGGCATGGAAACTGCATCTGCCCCAAGAAAGGGGCAGTTTGTTCTAATTTACATAGAGTTGCTATATGGGCTGGAAGCAGCTGTGAACTGCTGTGGATTTGTCTGCTAGGGAAGCCTGACCATTTACTGGGACCAAACTGGGATCATCAGAGAGAGAGCAGAACTTTTGAGGCCAGAGGGGAAAATATGACTGAGATGCTGGAGGAAGGCTAGGGTGTAGGAAGAAATTCCTAACATCAGGGTAGTAAGATAGATGGATTGAAGAGCAAAGTCACAGAGGACTCACTTGAGGAAAGGGAGGAGAAAGGCAGGGGAAGGAGAAAGCAGGATGGAAAAATGAGCAGGTGAGAGAGAATAAGACAAGCAGGGACAGAAAGAATAGAGAAAGAAACATATGCTGGAGAGATGGGGCTTGGTGAGGGGTAGGTAGTGTAGCCTGTCTGTCCTATCAGAAAAGTCGAGGCAGAGGTGAATGTGTAAGATATGGCTAACTTTAGGGGGAAAAAAATCATGCCCTTTCCCCCTCCTCTTTTTATTAGGTTGGTGCAAATGTAATTGCGGGTTTTTCCATTACTTTCAATGTCAAAAACCACAATTATGTTTGCACCAACCTAATATATATTCCTTGACACTAGTCAAAAACATCCAGAAGCCAGGTGTGGTGGTTCATGTCTGTAGTTCCAGAACTTTGAGAGGCCAAGGCCAGAAGATCACTTGAGCCCAGGAGGTTGATACCAGCCTGGGAATAATTATGAGACACTGACTCTACAAAAAACTTTAAAAACTTAGCTGGGCACGGTGGTATATGCCTATAATCCGAAGGTACCCAAGAGGCTGAGGCAGGAGGATTATTTGAGCCCAGGACCTTCAGGCTATATCTTGGCAGCCTGGGCAACAGAGTGAGACTTTCTCTTAAAAAAAAAAAAAAATAGTCTGGAGAAGGAGAGAAGAATCTGTATACCAAGGATGTTTTTCTGGGACCTTCTCTGGCTGAGGCAAAGAAAAGGTTTTCCACTTTGAATGCTTTTTCATTGGCCACTGGAGCCCTGTTGCGTTCGCTTTTTAGTTTCTGAACAATAAACTGGTAAATTACTATTGGGTTGTTTTAGCCAGGATGCTTGCTGCTGCTGACATTTCCCTGGTGATCTGCACCGATTGAAATTCTCCAGAGTAATTGCTATTCGTGTATCATCAGGAGTTTATCTTGGGAGCTTTTGGGTTTTGCTGATTTAATAACCAAGCTCTGGAGTCTGTGCTGTGGGGGGAGATGTTTAGTCTGATGAAGAGAGCAGGACAGAGTCCAGCATCTTCTCCTGCAGGTCAGGCCAGAGCTTAAGAGAACAAACATAAAAAGAGCAAGGGGAACGTTTGCTTGTTTAATTGGCCATAGATTTTCCTGGCAATAATTTGTAGCAAGATAACAGACCTCTTCAAGGTCATGTGTCTGGGCATGGCTGGGTGAGGAAAAGGACTCAGAAAATTCTGGGTGATTGGCTTTATAAATGAGTATGCTGATTTTGCTAGGACTCATTGGTCAGTTGATGTATATCTACTGCACTGATGGTTCCTGCCTGGCTGGCCTGGCTCTCGGCCTGGACTCCTGGCCCAGCTGTGTTTGAATAAAGGCAAAGATGGAGGACCCACCTGGGGTCTGGAGCAGCAAAGGCATTGTGTTCAAATCCCAGGAGCCTGAACCCCAGCCTGAGGCCAATCATTTGCTGAGCCCTCACTGAAGAGACAACTCAGAAATAGAGCAGACCACCTAGGCAGGAAGTAGGATGGGGCAGCTGTGCCTGTGTCTGGGCTTGCACAGACCTGGTTGGGTTCTCCCAGCTGTACTACACCTGCTCCTGTGGGAGCAGACCCTGTGATTCCCCAGATTTGACCTGAAATGGATTTTATAGATTTGAAAGGGGCCTCAGAGTTCCTCGAGTCCAACCACTCCCTGTTTCTGATGAAGCTGAGGCCCGTGATGGCCCCCATATCTCTGTACTTCATCATGACCTGAGGGCCCTCCAACACTCCCCTATTATATTGTTCAGCATTGCTGTGGGCCATTGTGGTCCTCGATCTCCATGTGAAGGGCTCCACGAAGCCATGGCCTGCATTTCATTAATCACAGGACTTGACATCCAGCAAATGCTCAGTGTTTCGATGAATGAGTCAATGAATGGAGTGACTTGCCCAAAGACGCACAGTTGTTGGTAGTGGCAGATCCAGGACACCCTGTGCTAGCGCTGGCTCAGTGCTCCTGATAGAGCCCCAACTGTCCACCAAGGGGTGAAGCAGACTGCTGGAGCTTGGATCTTGGTTAATTAGCTAGCTATGAGGTGACATGAGGTGGCCGTGAAGGCAGGCTTCTCAGATTCCCTTTCAAGAAGGAATTTGCTGTCCAGCTGCTAAGAGGACAGTTAGCTGACAGCCTCCAACACCAGCACCTTCAGGGTCCACCTTGACTCTGAAGCCAAAGCCAATTCCTATCAGTCCCAGCCAGTGACAGAGCCCAGTGGGAGTACTAGGGCCTAGCCATGCCTGCCCAACAGCAGGCTCTAACAGGCAGTCTCTGCTCCAGAGTGCCCCACCACGCAGGCTGAGACTGTCTGAGCTGCACGGTGGTCTGAGGCTCTCCCAGTTCCGTTTCCTTTCCCAGGTTTCAGGTCTACATTCTAGTCCAAAGGTTTTCCCTCTCCATTTCTACTCCCTCCTCCTTTTACATTTTTCATGGGAATACTTAACAATAAACTTCAATATATCTTAGCAGCTACTTTCCGGAGGCCTCAACTGACACAAGCCGTGGGACCTGGGACAAGTTCCTTAATCTCTCCAGCCTTCATTTTATCCTCTGTAAATTGGGCTTATGTTCATATCTACCTCATAGGGTGATGTGGGCCATCCCTTTGGGAGTAAATGAATCCAGGTTAGGGCCTAGAATAGCACCTGGCACAAGTAGGCGCTCTATACATGTTAGCCAATGCTATTACTGAGGAATCATGCTTGTCCATGGATTTCAGTTGCATGGAGTCCTACATCTAAGTAATGGAACCACAGAAAGACCATAGCCCTTGGACTCATCCACACACACAGCTGGATGCTTGTGGTGTGAGGTCATAAAAATGAAACTCTGCTCCTTTTTCCAAGGCACACACTGTGGAGCTAACAGAGGGCAGGGGCTGGGATCTGGCTACACATCTACTGAGGGTCAGGGCTGAGCAGAGGCTGTCTCTCTCCTGGGAGATAAGGTCCTGAAGGTGAGGAATGTACTGACTACCTTCCCAGCCTCAGAGGCTCAGCTGGACACCCCGCCATGGCCTGCTCGATGCCCAGCTGCCTCTGGGGAAGGTGGGAAAGGTGAGAGCTGCTTTTTGTGCCTTGTGAATCTCCATTCGCCTCTCCCAAACACCCTCGGCCACTTTCCCCACCTCAGTCTAGGCTCTCAACTGCTCTGGGTGTCCTTCACAGCTAAGATGTTGGCTCAAGAAAAAAAAAGCAAAAAAATAAAACAAAACAAAACAAAACAAAGAGTTCTAACCCCCATTCAGTCTCAGCAGCAAGCCATGCTCTCCCTCTGGGACCAGGATCTAAACTTCCATGGATAGTTCTGACTGTGTCAGGAAAGGTATAGGGCTAGATAATGTCTGATTCCCCTTCTAACTCTGCCATTCCATCAGGAGCCAGCAAACTCTTTCTCTAAAGGGCTAGCAAGCAAACACTTAACATGTCTAGCCTATAAGGTCTCTGTCACGACTCCTCAACTCTGCTGTTGCAGTGTGAAAGCAGCCATAGACAATGTGCAAAAAAATGATCCTAGCTGTGCTCAGAGAAAACCACCTACAAAATCACGTGCTTTGGCCCAAGGGCCATAGTTTGCCAACTCTCATGCTATGTAATGAACATGATGATACTGTCCTGGGGTAACTGATTTTC